ACATGTGACGACCCCGGGCTGGACTCCGCTTCGTCCACGGTGAAAGCCGTTCCGGTGATCCACAGCACAAAGTTGTTGTATTTCCTCAGCAACCAGCACGGATCAGCTCCAGGCATGACGAAGCGATATCGTCCTCTTTTGGAAGGCCAAACAAAGTAGTTTCGCTTTCACAACGAAACACACAGCGCCTTCACGACATGGCAGCGGCGGCAACAACAATACTACAGCGAGAATAAAAGTTACGCCTTCTTTCTTTGCGTGAACATTTGGGAGGCGTTATGCAAATCTTCCCAGATAGTGACGTAGGTATGTGGGGGCATGTTAGAACGAGCCGTTTTAGGTAGGCGTGGCTGACTCTTAACTTTTATAAAGAATATCTCTTTGGATTTGAGACTTTAGTCTTTGCAACTTTACAGATCTTTTTATGCACCAAGAGCTTGTAACACTCCAAAGAGAAAAGAAAAATTGAAATCGCATCATATGACCCCTTTAAGAGATGAGAGATCCAAACCTCCCCTTTCTTTTGGTAACTGGAGTGTTCTATATCAAATTCTGGATTTTTTTACCTTGCCAGATAAACCTTATAATCCATTTGTCCCAATCTTTAAATTGTTCTTCTGGAACCTTTAGGGGAAGTGTCTGAAATAAGTATAAAATGTTACTCACTGAAAACCGTACTGTGTTCATGAGACAATTCAGTTAATCAGTTGATTCATTCGCAAAATGTGTCTGAATGATTCTTTCATAAATTGGACTGATCCTAATCCAACATCTAATATTGTAAGATGAAAATAGTGTATCTCTATAAACACCTACACAGACTCTGAGAATGTTTTGCAATATATAGATTTTTTTAAACCTAGGTCAAAATTTTAGATTGAGAATATAGATTGAGAATCGTTTTAGTGGGTGTTTTTATTATTGAATATTTTACCTCAGTGTTGTTAGTGAAGCTGTTTTTAAACAATATGTAAAAGTGCAAAAAAAAGGACAATGCAGTGAATTGAACTGCACATCAAACTTTGTCAACAGGCCTTTTTTTCCACTTTGTTCAGATTGTACAGACCACTCGTCTTGTGGGCCCTGACAACCCTGTGGAGATGATCTACTTTGTGGAAGGAGCTAACGGACAGAGACTTCCCGCCGCAACCACAGCCAGCATGCTCAACAGTCTTGACATGCAGCATGCAGCGATCATCATGGGATACCGCGTCCAGGGAATATTAGCACAGCGTGAGCATTCAGACTTTTAATTCTTTCAGTTGAAAAAGATCTGTGGGAGAGAACTATATAACATAAAATCGCAGTGAACCAAGACTATAACGATAAAAAACAATGATGAAATTATCATTTAAATGATTTTGATTGATGGTAACATAACAGGCAGTGTTTTTTGTGGTAGCATTCTTTATTTCTACTGCTCTAAACGTCAAAGTGGTGAGTTCAGATAGCGTGACATCTCAAGAGAGCTCTGCCTTTTTATGTAACATTTATATGTGGCAGGCTTACAACTGCATCACCCACAGCATAAACATTAGATTCATTAGACTAAATTTAGAAGCTTCCTGCTGTATAACATCTTAGACCTTTGAATTTTAGCTCAAATCTCCAATTACAGTGTACTAAAAAAACAGGCCAACCCAAATTATGGTTGCTGTTGCTGTTTAGTTGATCCAACACCATACAATGTATTGAATTTTATATTTTCATTCAACATATGCTGATAATAATTCTAAATGATGTTTGAGATTGTAGATATTTAACTGTGCATGCTGTTTCTTTCATATTTAGATTGCCATTATATGCTTACTTAAAGTTAATCTTTAAGAACACTAATAATTTAGTAACACTGAATACTAAATATTTTTCATTAAGAAGCCTGTAAGATTTTTTTATTAGTTTAAATAGGGTGACTATATTTTAGTTTTCAAAAAAGAGGACAGTGAGGGAATGATGCACCGTGGTGGTGGGGGCGGGGGGGATGAGGGGGGTTAAAGTAGCCCCCAAAGTAGCACAATGACCATATCCCAAATATATAATAAAATAAAATATATACATATTTTACAGTCACGTTATGTAGATTGATCATAAACACAGCTAAAAGGCTTCTTACCAGTGGTCATCCTTCACAAAACTTAACATCTACCACAGTAGTAGATAGAATAGAAAAAAAGAACAGGGAATGCTAGTGTTAGAGGGTAATTTTTAAATAAAAATAAAACAAGTAAATAGAACAGAAAAATAATAGATAATGCTTGTGTTAGAAGGTCATTATTTATAATAAATCAAAATAAAATAATTAGAAAGAACAGAGAAAGAATAGAGAATGCTAGTGTTAAAGGCTCTTTTTCTCTTTTTAAATAAAACAAGTAGAATAGAAATAGAATATAGAGTGCAACTGTTAGAGGGTCAAATTTCTTTAATAAAAATAACAAGCATATAAAATTAGAATTAGCATTATAATAGAGAGTGCTAGAGTTAGAGGGTCAAATGAAGGTGAAATAGATGTGTTTTCAGCCGTTTCCTGAAAATGATTAAGGACTCAGCTGCTTAGATTGAGTTGGGCAGGTCATTCCACCAGGAGGGAACAGTTAATGTAAAAGTCCATAAAAAGTTTTATCATAGGTAGAATGCAAAATGTCTCAATACAAGCATTTCAGTCAAATGTAATTTATGCAATATTTCAAACCTTTAACCCATGAGAGAAAATCAACCCGCCTGAACAGTTCAGCTCAATTCCATGCAAAAAAACTGAAATTTGGCAACCCTGCATCCAACAGCTGCATTCAAAGTGATTTAATTAGCCTACTCCGCATACTGATAGCGGCTCCCTGATGCGCATAAATCATATTCAATATTAGAATGTTTGCGGGAGCAAACATGGTCAGAAATTCAGCGGGATTAAGAAATCAGTCCCGTGGGCTTTAATCCAAAAACGCACACAATGAATGGCGACTGTAGAAAGCAAAAGCCGAATCCCGGACATTTTGGGCGATTTAGAAATCCCGGCTGGACGCATTTTTTTTTTTTTGGTCCAAAAAGAGGACATGTCTGGGGAAAAGAGGACGTATGGTCACCCTAGTTTAAAGAAATTAATACTTTTATTTAGTAAGTATGCATTATAGTAAAGCCATTATACAATGTTGTGAGATTAAAATGTATAATGGGTTTCAAAAATGTAAAATAGCCCAACTAATATTAATAAAATGTAATATATCACAAAAAATTAGAATAGCACATCTGTTTTCAACATTGATAATATTGTGACACTGAAAACTGGAGTAATGACTGCTGAAAATTCAGCTTTGCCGTCACAAGAAAAAAATGCATTTTCAAAATATATTCAAAAAGAAAACAGTTATTTTAAATTGTAATAATATTTCACAATATTACTGTTTTTACTGTACTTTTGTGCAAATAAATGTGGCCTTGATGAGCATAAGTGACTTCTTTCAAAGAAAGAACATTATTTTTCCAGGTTTTTTTTTTTTTTTTTTTTTACACATTTTTGAACAGTAGTGTAGTCACAGATATTTATACTTCATTACCCCTGTGTATGTTCAGCTGTGGAAAAGCAGGCCTTGCCTCCCTCAGACACAGAGAAGACCAACACGTGGATAATCGTAGGGGTGGTGGTCCCCGTGGTGGTGGTCGTCATTATAATAACTATCCTGTACTGGAAACTCTGCCGCACTGACAAACTGGAATTCCAGCCAGACACCATGAGCACCGTCCAACAAAGACAGAAGGTGAGAGACTGAAAACGCTGTGTAATGATTCAAATGAAATGTATTCTGGGATCCTGAAGCTCTGTTTCTCATGAGATTTCTTCTTTCTTTCTAATGTAAGGTTCAACTGTAGGTCATGTCATCATTTTGTTTTGTTTTACTCTTATGTCTGCTGATGTGTCAGTGATATTGCTAATCAGTCAGTGGGCTCCTGTGAGTCTGAGCTGCTTATCTCGTCTCTCACAGAGTGATTTAAATGACTCTGTAGCAGGATGCTAGCCAGCTTTGAAAGATCAGAATTGGATATTAGTTGGCTATCCACTACTCTACCTATTTCCACTCTCAGTTATTCTTGGCATTGGAAAGGCTGATTCATTTAGCAAATGAGTTTGTTTAGACAGTTCATTTCAATGATGAGATTCAGTCATTCGTTGAGTCAGGAGTCAAACGTTCCCAGAAGTAGCTGCGTCATTATTGTAGTGAAATAAATGTTTATCTATTCTAATGTTTATCTATAACTAATTTTTCCAGTATGGGTTGTGTCTAGGCATGAGCTAAACTACATATTTTCAAAATTGACCAATGAGTCGGTTTTCTGAACGACTTGTCAGTCTTAAGAAAGTGTATTAAGAGTTGAAGAGATGTGATGCAATGGCCCAAATTTTTATACTTTTACATTTTTAAATTTTATACTTGTTAGATGACTAGCTTCTATTAAATTATTCTACTCTAACTTTAATTACATTCGATTATTTGTTTAAAATTATTCTAATTTTAATTAAATTATATATATTTCAAGCTCACCAAAAATGGTAGTTCTGTCATCATTTACTCACCCTCAAGTTGTTCCTAACCTGTATGAGTTTCTTTCTTCTGTTGAATGCAAAAGAAGATATTTTAAATAATCTTGGTAACCAAACAGTTGCTGGTAGCCATTGACTTCCATAGTAGGGAAAAAATACTATGCAAGTCAGTGGCTACTGGCAACTGGTTACCAACCTTCTTCAAAATATCTTTAGATTTTGAAGACTCTGCCACGCCCCCCCTAAAACAGCTCGGTCTAACACGCCCCCACATGTCTACGTCACTATGTGGAAATATTTGCATAATGTGGCCTAAATATGCACGCAAAGAAAGAAGGCGTGGTTTCAGTAACCAATTCTGTTACACCAAATACACAAAATAATGATCTTTAAAAAGCATCATATGACCCCTTTAACAGAAGAAAGCAATTCATACAGGTTATGAACAACTTTGGGGTGAGTAAATGATGACAGAATTTAAATTTTTGGGTGAACTATCCCTTTAAGTTCATTTCATCCTATTGAATCATCTTTAAAGCACCACTTCAGCATCACGCTGCCCTGTTCTTACAATGAAAGTCTTGCTACTGCTGTTGTCACTACTATAAACAGACTTGTCATTCACGAGCACATACACTTGCGGAGTCCCAGCAGTAATGAAGTCAACTGCTGAGCTGGCTGATGGGTTAATGCTCAGCAGTGACGTTCTTTTCCAAAGCAGCGCCCGCTGGTCCTCTCAGTCTGAACGTCTTGATTTAACTACACTCGTATGAGGAGCACATCGTCATTACACACTTCATATGTGCACACTCACAATCCTCAAGAACTACCTCCACTCTCATCTACATTCTCAACAAGGCCCTTTCTTGGTACTTTAGTGAGGTTCTCTGGTTTAATCAGTTTACATTATTAAATGGCCTGCTTCTCGCTTTGTTCCTCATGCTCTTACTTAAATCAATATTTCATGGTTTTGACACATAAAGGGAAAGATGCTTAAAAAATACTTATTCTCCAAATTCTATCTTCATTTACTTACCCTCAAGTCGTTAAAAAAAACTGTTTCTTTCTTGAATTTCTTTCAAATCTTAATCAAGTCTTTCTTTTCTGAGTTTCTTCCTTCTGTGGAACAGAAAAGAACAGAATGTTTCCAAAATCCAGTATGGTTTTGCACCTTAGAGTTCTTCAAATATCTCTTGTGTTTTACACAAGAAAGTAAGTCGTGCAGATTTATAAATGATGACAGAATTGATTTATTTGTTTATTTTTGGGCAGTGTTTTTTTTTTTAAAAGGAGCAATGGATAGTTTTTTTTCTATGTTAAAATATTTTGGAGTCAAATTACATTAAGTTTAAATTTGTTAACATTAGTTAGACTGTAAAAATGGTTATTGTTAGGTGTGATACCTGATGCCTGGCTTAACTAATGGTAACTCTATTGTAATTTTATATTTCGTTTGTCTCAGTGCTGAAATAGTAAATAATTCAAATGTTGATTTCCTGAACAGAATTCAATACAAGTTAGAATCTATCATCTATTGGCTGTTTAGGGATTGAAGTAGAAAAAAATTAAAATAGGTGTTGCAGTTGCCAAGTTATATTTTTAGTCGCTTTGGATAGAAGCATCTGCTAAATGAATAATTGTAAATATAAATGAACTGATTGTCTTCTGTTACACTGAGTTGTTCTATGCTACTTCCATGACAATATCATTCGCATCTCTAGTTTTTCCACCTGTTTTGCTATTTGTGCTCCTGTAAACACATTGGAGCCAATTTAGAGCTTCTCTCTCTTTTTCTCTCTATCTCTATCCCTCGTTCTTTATCTAACCCACATCCAATCACATCTTAACACTCTCGCTCTCCCATGCTTGTTTAGTCCTCATTACAGAAATCCATACCAGTAATCCAGAGGTCAATGACTCCTGTCAAGAGCAAAGAGCTTTTAGATAGTAGTGATGAAGAAGAAGAGGAGGAGGAGGAGGAGGAGGAGGAAGATGATGAAGAGGAAGAGAGGAGAGAGAAGAAGGTAGAGGCTGGTAGAGGAGATGTAGTGTACTATAGACTGTAGAATAGTCTTCCAGTTAGTCCCCACACAGGAAGTACAAGATTCCTCTTCCTCTTTGACCTTCAAAGGAGTGCCGTCCCAGTACCAGTCACTGTCAACGTCATCCGTGTTTGGACCATTTGGTAGTTCTCTGTGGACCCTGTTGATATGAGAATGTAGTCTGAATTGCAAACAAGTGACTCTTGAGCTGGTTCTTTTAAATGAATTGACTCACATGAATTGATTCAGAAAGACTCACAAATGAGTCAGACCAATTCATCTGTCTGAAATGATTTGCTCACTCACTGAATCAGTCGGAGGGGTTACTGAATCAGCATCTGATTTTGTCACATTAAATCGCAAGTCATCATCCTACTGAAAATAAACTAGAATGTTGTACAAATATAGTATGCTAGAATATGCAGTGCCATTCAAAAGTTTGGGGTTGGTAAAGTTTTTTTAATGTTTTTGAAAAAAGTCTCTTAAGCTGCAGTTATTTGTTACAGTAAAAACACAGTAAGAACAATAATATTGTGAAATGACAGTTTTCTATTTAAATATATTAAGTGTTGGTTAATTTATGCATTTATTTATTTATTTTTAGAATTGTGTCCTTTTTACGCCATTCTTTGCTGTTCAAAAGAACAGCATGTAACTTACATAGAATTGTAATTGTAACATTTTAAAAATAGTGTTGTGTGAATATAGTTGATGTCAACATGTCAGTCACTTGATGGGAACACAAGCAACTTTTTATTATCACCCTCATCCAAATCAGAAACCTGTCAGAAGCATAAGGAAAAAAGAAAGTATTGAGGAGGAGGAGGAGGAGGAGGAGGAAGAGAAAGAAGAAGAAGAAGAAGAAGAGGAGGAGGAGAAAGAAGAAAAGGCCCAAGAAAAACCCAAGAAAGCTATAAAGAAGCCATATAGTATGAGGCCGGAGGTATCTGTACAGTACAGTAGTGCTGACGTGTTTTCTAGAATGCAGCAGTTAGTCCTAGATACAGTATTTCTATTGCTGATAATCTTCCTTTATGCCAATGATAACCAGCAATTGGGACAAAAAACATGTTATCTCAACAGCAGATGCATGCATTTGAATGTGTCAATAATAACCTAACCTCTGTCTCTGGCCATTTGGTCTAAGCTTCTACAGCTTCAACTGTATTGTGGCCTAGATTTGGTTACAGCAGCAATAGAGGCAAACAGAAACGAGATAAGAGCTTTCGTTATCACAAACAGAATTTGTCTAAACAGCTTCATTTGCATTTGAAAGGGAATGCGATGGGAAACAGAGAAATAGACGTATTCCCAGAAGTTGAGCATCTTTCAGTGAATCCATCTCTATTGTGCCGCTACACATACAGCACGACAAAAGAACCCAGCGTATGCATTTTTCATACGTTTCTGTGTTTTCTGGCAATATATGAAACATAGAATTCAATCTGATCCACTGTGACCCTCTGCACAGTTTGTTTGATCTGGAAAATTATAAAACAAACAACGGTGATTCATCAGCATTGAAGAAACCATTCACCCAAAAATGAAAATCCTGTCGTCATTTACTGACCCTCAAGTCTATATTATTTTTGTTTTCTTTTAAACACATGTCCAGGCTTTTTTATATATAATGAACATGGATAGTGGCTTTTGTAGAGTGGCCCATGTGAGTGCTGCAGACAGACAGGCTATTACAGCCCGTCTAGCTGGTCTGGCCCACGGTCAGTCTGCTGACCTCTAATCAAGTGCATCCATTTTGAATGCTCAGTCTTCTCATTGTCTATTTGAGAGTCAGTTACTGTCCTCTTGCTCAATTTATTCGTATGACACTGTGACAATCTGTGGATTATGGATATTCATATTCTATCTTTATGCTTCGTGTACATGCGCTTTGACATTGACACGTCTTAAGACGGCTGGACCAAAGCCTGACCTGATTCTGTCTAGTGTTTGTGAGTAGTTTTAAATAAACATTTAGTCGTTTAACTTTCATCCCTCACTCACCTGTGCAATCCCTCCATTTCCTTCACAAACATCCTTCTGCATTCATTTTGATTCTCCAAATTAACATTTTCCTCTCTCTGGGGTGGTGGTCTTTAGCTGCAGGCGCCCAGCGTGAAGGGTTTCGACTTTGCCAAGCTGCACATGGGCCAGCATAGTAAGGATGATCTCATGGTCATCCAGGAGCCGTTGCCACTTCCTGTGGCCGCCAAGGAACAGAGCCCAGCTGAGAACGCAGAGGTGCCCACACTAAAGTCCAAAGCTTCCCGCAATGGCCAGCGGCGCAGGGGCCAGTGAGTCTGATAAATGCTTTTTTTGATATTCAGGATCAAACATTTTACACATAATTGAGTTTTTGGTAACACTTTACAATGAGGTTCCATTTGGTAACATCATTAGTTGACTACATTAGTTATATCTACACTGTAAAAAAAAAAATCAGTGAAAAATACCGACAGCTGTGGTTGCCAGAACTTCACCGTAAAAAATATGGTAGCAACATTTTAGGTTTTACAGACTTAACTTAAATTCACAATAAAATACCGCATTTCATTAACGGATGTAATGTTAATAAACCAACATATTGAAGTGTTAATATCTGTTTTGAACCATTGTAATGCACTGATAACCACCAAAAACTGGTGGTGATGAGAAAGTCACATGATGAACCAAAGCTCATCACAAACAGCTTTTCTAGGAGCTGAGGAGGGCAATACTTATATATAGAAGTTGCACAGTTTCATTCACACAATCACTAAACACCATCATGGTGACACACATGATACTGAAATAATGCAATAAACATTAATTTAACAACATTAGATGTAAGATTAAACCCTAATGTACACAACTGATTAAAACTAAGAAGAAACATGTTATTTCAACAAAAAAACATCAAATATGAAGTGTCATGCAGGGAATTCTGGGAGTGTCAATTTACGGGTTTTCACTGTAAATTATGACAATGACTTTCTTTTTCACTTCCAAAAACCGTATTTTTAACAGTATTTTACTGTAAAATTACATTAAATGTAATTACATGTATTCACCGTATATAGTATGGAAACTTACGGTTAACCAGTTAACAGGTTTTTACTGTAGCATTTTTACAGTCTTTTACTGTTAAAATCACAACAATTTTTTACAGCATTTTTCATTTTTGGTTGATTTCATTCGTTTTACTAATACATTTACCACATTTCGTTAAAATTACCTAACTGAACAATATACATCTACAGCATTTATTAATCTTATTTGATTTCATTTCTTTCATTAATACATAACTACATGAGTAAACATGAACAAACAAAGCATTTACATTTACCTTTCCATTTGGTCATTTAGCAGACAATTTTATCCAAAGCGACTTGCATATAGGACAGTAGAAGCAATCAAAACCAGCAAATGAGCAGTAATATATAAGTGCTGTGACAAGTCTCGGTTAGCCTAATGCAGTACAAGCAGCAAGGGTTTTGTTTAATATAATAAATAAAAAGAAAACAAGTAGATGGAATGGAAAAAGAATAGGGAACACTAGTGTAAGAGGGACTTTTTAAAAATAAAAACAATAATCAAAAGAATAGAAAATAAATAGAGAATGCTAGTGTTAGAGGGTCGTTTTTTTTATAATAAATAAAAAGAAAGCAAATGCATGTAATGCATACCATACAGTATTTATTGATCTCAATGTTAATTTCATTTATTTTACCAATGCAATTTTAAAACTATTTTATTAGTTAATATTTAGTTAATGCACTAGGAACTAATGTGAACAATGAAAATTGTATTTTTATTCACGTACGCATTAACAAACATTAATTAGTGCTCTGAGATTAAGTATTGCTAATTGTTAGTTCATGTTAACTAATGAATAATCTAAAAAGGGGCCTTGTTGTAAATTTTACCTGTTTTGAAACCACAATCTAGTATCAAAAAATCCACCTAAAATAACAAACTGGTTCCGTTTCCCATTGTGCTGCAGTAACCTCATATTAAAATAACTTGTTAATTTATTTAAAGGCAGGAATGTAGTAAGAGTGAGTCGACTGCTGATCAATAGAAAGCTTTTTAAAAGGATTACATCTCACACTCTAATCAATAGAAGGGTCTTAGAGGTGAAATTACCACAGATCTCATGTCTTGCAAACATTACAAGTACCTGAAACCTTGTTACAAATAGACAGAAGTTATGTAATTATTTTATATAGTTATGTAATTCTTTTATATTCCTTACTGCTTAAATGGAAAAATCCATATTTTTGGACTATATTAAAAATCAATAAATCGAAAATAAAGTAAATAAAACAAAATAAATGAAAATAAAATAAAACAAATAGTCAGAGATAAATAAATTCCTAGTAATTAAGATAGTAAGCCAAAAAGCTGTAGACTAAAAGGGTAGCGAATAGGTAATGGGCTCATGACCATGTCATGAACCTTTGTGTGGTCGCATTAGATCTGAAAGTGCTCTTTAGAAGCATGACAGGATTAGGTCATCATCCTCTTGCATTTACCCTGGAGACGCATGCCTCATCAAAACTGGATGAAGGGTAAATATTGTTGTCTGTCAAGATGAGGATGTCAGGGTTCGGGCGAGTTTGCTCATGTTTGTCATGAATTAGATCCAAGGACAATATAAAGTCAAAAGGAGCATAAATGTAGAAATTCATGTATATTAATTGCGTTCATTTTTTTTCCACATTGTTTTGATGCACGCTGCGATACAAGACTTTCACTCGCATTTCGGGACAGTTGACAGAATTGTCACTTGCCTAATCGGGTCATTGTTGCACCGTCAGAAAATGTTATTATTTATTTGAACGTCTTTTTAAGCCATTCGGTACTCGCGCGCTGCAGAGGCGGTGCGCAGTCACATCCAAAGTGCGCTCGTGCGTATATAAAGCCACCATGCCAGTACCAAATTGAGTTTGCTACCAAATAAGCTCAGCAGAACCCTGCACGGGCCTCAAACATATGCCCTAGTCCGGCCCTTATCCGACAGATTATCAGAATTACTGGCGGAGTCCGACTGGAGCCCGTGTCTTTTTTTCTCTTTCTCTCTTCCCCAATTACACAGCTGCTGTTGTAGCCATTAAAATAGTTCAGTTTCGTTTTTAATGGCAAAAGTGGTTATATATATTTTCGTTTCTTTATTACATTCATTTAGAAATATGTTTGGACAATGTTTTTGTTTGTTAAATTCAAGTTTTTGTTTTATTAAAGTAAGCGGCCAGTGGCCAGTGGCAGACAGTGAGTTAATCATAGCCTATGTTTGATCAATTTAGCCTTCTCAAACACTTGACTATTGACTAAAATAAAATACGTTAAACCTAGATAAATGTGCGCTATATCCAATAGTTTGCGC